TAATTTGCCTTAATTATTTCCTTAATTATATTTCCTTAAATATATATATTTATATTCTTTTCTATAATAAAAGCCTAATTTTATATTTTACTTTTTATAATTATTTCTAATTTATAATTATATTACTTTAAATATATTTAATTATTATACCTATTTTCTCTATTATATATACTATTATTTTAGCTTTATTTTCTTATTAGAAAAAAAGAAAAACTCGAATATATATAATATTTTTATATAATCTAAAACTATTTTAATTTACTTTTTATTTTGGAATATACTTAAAAGAAATTCTTATAATCTCGAGAACCTTTAATTCTATAACCTATAACTATTATACTAATAATACTTTTATAACTTATTAAGAATAATAAAATAGCTAAAGTATAGATTTCTTAAGCTAGTAAAATATAATAGCTAGTTCTTATAAGCTATAATATTATTAAAAGCCTATAGATTAATAGTATTAAAGTTTAGAGTATTAAAGGAGCTTGGGTAATTATAAAAGGCTTACTAATATTAGAAAAGATAGCTATAATTATTGAATTTAATATAAATATTCTAGATAAGCTAAGTAATATATATAATAAGCTCTTGAAATAGAAAACCTTTATTAGAAATAGAACTAAACTAGGATTAATTAAGAAAGAGCTAAAGAATTACTAAGCTAATAATAGGGAATTCGAGAATATTATTAAAGGCATTTCTAAAAGTAAATAAGAGAAGCTTTATAAAATTAAGACTATAGTAAATAGTCTAGAAACCAAGAGTTAAAATAGAATTATATTATATAATAAAGCCTTTAGCTAATATATTAATAATATTTATAATAATTTTAGTAAGAATATTTATAAAAGGTTATATTTTCTTTTTAAAATAAAAGCTTTTGTATATAAAGCTATTTAGTTAATTAATAAAGCTACTTTAGAATATATTAAGAATAAAAAGTATTAAAATACTAGTATATTTACTAAATTAAATATTATTAAGGTATTTAAGTATATAAAAACTATTTCGGAATCTAAAGAATTAGAGTTTAAGCTACTATTAGCTAATAATCTTAAAGCTAAATAGTATATTTTTAATACTTCCGGAATTTTAATTAAGGGAACTTATAATAATAAGCCTTTTCCTGCTTTCCGAAATAAGTTTGGAAAATAGGCTCCTATTATAATTTTAGCTTTAACTTAATCGGATCTAGCTAAGAAAAATAGAGCTAATTTAATAAAGCCTAGTAAGAAAGTTACTAGTAAAGCTAGTAGAACTAGTAAAACTAGTAAAACTAGTATAACTAGATAAGAAAAACCTAGTAAGAATAGAGAATAAGCTAAGCCTAAAACTTCTAATAAATAATAGAAATCTAAGTATTAAACTAAATATAAGGTTAGTAAAATAAAGGAAAATAAAAAGAAATCCTCTATTTTAAAGGGAAAGATATTATCTAGAAAGACTTCTTTAATTATATCTAGAACTAAAAAGCAGAAGACTAAGAATATTAAGTCTAGAGAACTTAATAATAGTATTAAGTATATTTATAAAATACTAGCTAAATAGAAATTAATACTTGCTTAGTAAGATAAATATATTTTTAAGGAAGTATATAATAGTATTTTGGGATCTATTTATAAGCAAGAATACTATAGAATTAATAATAGATTCCTTAAAGCTTCCTATATAGGATATATTTAGTAACTTACTAATACTTTCTTTATTAATATATAAGATATTAAAAATATTCTAAAGCTAGTTACTAAGATTTATAAAATTACTAAAAATAAGAAATATATTTCTATTATTTAAATAAATAAGGAAATATGAGATTTCTTTTTTAAGATATAAGAAATTAAATAATATAAATATAAATATTATATTTCTAATTAATTTTATTCTAATTTATAGCTTTAATTTAATATTATAATTCCTGTTTCTAAATCTAGTATTACTAATCTAGATATAAATAGCTATATTTATAAGAAAAATTACCTAAAATAAATTAAAAAGCTTAGTATTTAAGAACTTTTAATAATAAAAATAGAAATATTATAGTTCTATTTCTAAAAAGATAATATATTAATATATAAAGATCTTAATAATAACTATTTTACTTTAGCTTCTTAATTCTTAATAATAGATTTATTAATATAATTCGGGTTTTATAAAATATTAAATAAGTATTTTATTTACCTAATTATTTATTCTTAGCTAGTCTAATATTTTATTTCTAGAAATATTAATTATAATTAGTATAAAGGTAATACTAAAAATCTAGCTATTACTAAAGCTTTAAATAGCGAATTTTATCTTAGTAAAAAGTATTAGAATATTAGCTATATTTTCCTTATAGACTATAAAAAAACTATTACCTTTAATAAGAAGTTCTTTAAAAACATTAATTATTTCTTTATTTCTAATAAATTTAAGCCAGAAATAGCTAAAAAATTAAGTAAGTATTTACTAAAAGTAATAAGAGAAAAGATTCCGAATATAATCTATATAACTAGATAAATAAATACCTTTAGCTAAGTAATCTATAAGTCTGGAATTATGGGAAAGTATTAATTCTCGGATAATATATAAGTTAAAGGATAGCTTAATAATAATTTATTACTTAATAGGCCTTTTATTATAGTTTTAATAAGTTTAATTACTATTAAGAATAAAATATACGAAAATAAAGTCTCTTATAAGATTATTAAAGCCTCTTATCTAGAGCTTTTTCCTCTTATTAAAGATTAATTTAAGAATATAGTAGATAATATGAAATTTAAAGAAGCTATTTATTTAAAATATATTAGTATAATTTATAATATAATTCGCTATAATAAGCCTCCTTAATATCCTATAGTAAAGGCGGAAATTAAGTAATAATTAAAGATAAATACTAATTAATATAAAGAACTATATTGGATTTAGTATAAGAATATAACTTAGTGGGTTTGAATTACTTTTAAGTAAGTTCGGGAATACGAAATGAGATTATTTAAGAATAATAAGTCTTATTTTAGGTATATAAAAAAGAAATTAGATTAATTAATAAAGGAAAATCCTAAATATTTTATTATTTCGGACTTTAAATAGGAATTTTCTATTATTTTTAGTACTTAGAGAACAAGTATAAATAAATAGGGAATCGGATATAATATAGCAGGCTATACTTATTAAAAATTATATTATTTTAGTGGTTTTAAGATTTAGGTTATATAATAAAGGCTATAGCCTTTTATATATAACTTGCAGAAATTATATAAGAAAGCTAGTTTTTCTATAGACTTAGAGAATAATTCTTTATAAGTATTTAATTAATTAAGCTTTTATATATTATATATTATTTATGCTTTACTATTTATGCTTTTAATTTATTATTTTACTATTAAGTTATATTTTATATTCTAGTATACTTTATATAGGTTTTTGTCTTATTATAGTTTCTCTTCTATAATATTCTCAAAAAACGTACTAATACTAATTAAATATTAAAGTAAAGAGAGAAGTAAATACCGAGTAAGAAAGATTATAATTAGATAGAAATTAATTTAAATAATAAACTATTCCTATAACTAGTAAATACCGAAAATACTAAGGCTAATATCTATTATATTAGATAGAAATAAATAAAGTATACTTATAAAACTTGAATCTTAGTAATTTAATTAGGTTAGGCTAACTCGAGACAGGTTTTATAAATATTATAAATTCGGGAATTAGTATATTACTTTTCTTAAATAGAATTATAGTAAGGAAAGAATAATATTCTTTCTTTACTAGGTTTATATAAACTATCTAGAGAAGAAGTAAAAAAAAGAAGAAATAAGGTTACTTTATATATACTAATAGGATTTCAAAATACTTTACTACTAACTAAATAGTAATTATATAGATATAAATAATAGATATAAGGTTATTAAGGTATAGTAATTTTCTTCTAATATTCTTATATTATATACTAATCTATAATTAAAGTATATTAATAATATACTTAAGATCAAATTTGAGCTAAATACTATTTCTAAATCCAAGCCTATAGCTAGCCCGAATAACCTGCTTCTTATATTTATCTAGTACTAGGCCTGTAATAAATCTGTTTTTCTTACTAAAAATAACTATTATAATATTATTACTATTATACTATTTCAAGCCTATATAAGTAATTAACTAGCGGAATTTATTTACTTATTAAAAGGCAAAGCTAGTAAAAACTCTTTTAGTAAAAAAGAAGAAACTAATAAGAAAATATATTTTTAGAAAATAGTATATTATAATTATAATAATAATAATAATACTAATATTAATAATAAGCCCAAGTATACTAATAATAGTAATACTAGAGATAATTCTAGATCTAATAATAATATTTTCTTTAATTCTAAAGATAATAAAAGTAATAATAATACTACTAATAAAAATATAAATAGATATAGCTACTCGAATAGCGGTTATAGTAATAATATAATAGATATTACTATAATAAAGGATATAGACAAGTACTATATAACCGAGTTTAATAAGTATAGGTAGCCTCTATAGTAGATCTCGGATTCTGCTAAGCCTAGCGAGTTTAAGGAAATAAAACAGAAGTATAAAATACTCTATTATAAGAATATCTATTTCTGGATTATATAGAACCCGAAGCAAGAAGAGAAAGACTTTCTAGTAATAGAGATCTACTTATAAAACTATAAAGAAATAGATAATAAGCCTAAATTATATATTATTCTTATAAGATATCTCGAACCTTAGCTAACTTATTTCCTATAATATAATCTTTCTTTTTAGGAAAAATCTCTTACTTATTCTCTATTTAATCTTTTATGTCTTAACCCGTATAATCCGGGATAATATAATTCTTATTAATAGTTATGTCTCTCGAGTTCTTTTTTACTACTAATCTAGGAAGTCAGAATATAAAGGTAATAAAGGTCTATTAGAAGCCGGAATAGCTTAAGCGGCCCGTTTTTCGGAGGTCGGTCTGAACTATAAATAGCTAGGTAAAGTTAAAAACCAAACTCATATCCTATTTAAAGTATATCTTTTATCTGAATTGTCTGGGGCAAGATGCGGGCTTTAAAAACAGGCTAATAAGCTATTATTTCCGTCGAGATTATACTAATATAATTAATAGTATGTATCCTAATTATATTATTAATTTTCTCGAGGCTAATAGCTATTTTAGGTAAGGCCTTAGATATAATATATAATTAAGTTATAAGATATAATTCCTTTACGAGAGTTTTTAATAAGGTATATAATAATTAGTTAGTTAGATTTAATATATAAGACACTTATCTCGAAAGTAATATTACTAATAATAGCCTAACCCGGGCCTTTATTTATATAAGTATTTAATATAACCCTAGTACTTTAAAAGAAGTTTCCTGAGAGGTAATAGAGCAACTTCTTGCCGCGGATCTAGAAATTACTGCCCTTGAGTAATAATTTAAAGAGTTATATACCCGGATTAAGTAGGACTATAAGTTTGTTAATTAAATACCTAAGGAAATTAGGGAGGTATATAAGAAACTCGGCTAGTAGTTTAAGGCTATAATAAAGAGCCTGGAAGATAAGCTCGAGGCCAAATATAGGAAGAATTATTTTTTCTATATCTATAATAAGATAATAAAGAAGTAATTAAACCGGCCACTAAACAAGCCCGTAATAGAGAAGGAAGCCGAGCCTATTATTAAGTATTAGCTTAAAGAACGGATATAATTATAGCTAGTTCTTTATAATCTCTCTAAAGACTTGAGCTCTTAAGCTATTATTATATGAAAGGTTAATGCTATTAATCTCTAGATTATACTTGCCTTATAAAGAGAGCTTATAACTCGCTAGTAGCGATTAACCCTAGCCTATAAGAATTCTCTTAAGGAAGAATCTCCCGCTCTCGCTCTTGCTCTCGATTCCTTCTTACTAGCTAGTAAGTTTCTCCTTATTATAGAAAAGACCTAGTATATATTTTGTATTAGTAATAAGGCGCTCTTATATAAGTAGTAAATATATAGATTTCGCCGGATTTCGTATTTATGAGACTATATTAAAAATATTTACTTATATGGGGTACTAGTAAAATAGCGGATTATCTGCTATTACCTTCTCTATAAGGGTGAGAGGCTACTACTTAAAGGCATATAGCACTTCAAGAATCACGTGGTAATAGCCTATAAGGTCGGCCTTTAACTCTTATCTAAAGTTTTCCCTTATTAATTTCTTTTATCTTATAACTTCCCTTTAGGGTATATACTATTAGGAGTTATTAAGATTTTAATTCAGCCAAAGATATATTTGTAATATTTGGTTAGGCTAGAATCACGTAAGCACGTAATAATTAATATTTAATATGGATTAAACCTCTATAACTAAGATTCTAATTTACTATATGAATTTCTGTATATTACTCTTGAGTAGAATCTATAAGCAAAGCCCCGCCTAATGAGACTAGCTCGGGCACAAGATCTATCTAATAATTCTGCGGCACAAGTAGCGTCTCTAGAGTTAGGGCAATACTCGGATTAACGGGTCGCCTTTATAGGAGTTCAATTTGGCTCCCCTATATTATTTAGAGGCTGTACTCTAATCTCTCGAACTAATAGTTCAGGATATTACTATATAAAAATAAAGCATACTATATACTAGCTATATTATGGTATTATGAGTTATCTATAAAGCAAAATTATAATTCTTTCTATTAATCCTTTTTAACTTTTATACTCTATATTTAGTTATATCATATCTTTATACCTAGATTACTTACTTTCCTATAATAAAGTTATTTAATGGTTCTTATTTAAATGTCGTAATTAAAGCTCGGTATTAATATTATATAGAAGCAGATTAGTTAGGAGCGGATATAATTATTACTATAGCGAGATTAGCTTAATCTTTCATTCTTACTTAGGGTCCTACTTACTATTTCTTCTATTAATTATAGCTAATTTCTTTTGGAATAATAAGTAGTATATTGTCCGTTATAATAAATAAGTAATATAATATATATACCGGGAAACTTTCTATACTCATATACTTTCGTAATTATAGTCCGTTTCTTCCTTCGAGCAGCCTCGCTTTAATTTCTTTGGCTTTTATTATACATAATTATATATAGGAACCTAAGCTTTCCAAGTAAGATTAAGGAAGATTAATGCAATTTATAAGAGGGAAATGGTCCTGGTATACTATCAGAATCGCAATAGCTCCACCAGGATAACTACGAACAAGCGAGGAGGCCATCCCCCTCTTGTTCTTGAGGGTAACTATCTCGGTAATCCCACCCTATATCCCCCACCTAAAAGGGAGTATTGCTTTAGATAGTACGTGACCACCCCTCAGTGGTCTATACATCCAGATAATAAGGGCCTTTATTGCCTTAAGCGAGTAATATTCACATTCCTTATACTACCCACTTGTTTGCACCAATCACTTCCTAGTACCACTAGGTTTATAGTACCAAAATATTATTTATACTAATAATTTCATAGTACTACTAGGTTTATAGTACCACCAACTTGTTTGCACCAACCACTTCCTAGTACCACTAGGTTTATAGTACCGCCAACTTGTTTGTACCAATCACTTCCTAGTATTACTAGGTTTATGGTACCAAAAAGTTATTTGTACCAAAAGTCTTATAGTACCAGTAGTTTCTTAGTACTAATAAAACCTTTGTACTAATATTTTAATAGTACTAACGGCCTCGTGATATTAATGGTTTCTTTGTGCTAGTAAATTATTTGTACTAGTAATTTAATGTTTCACGGGACCACGCTCGAAGACAGCCATACACACCCAGCAGATGTGCGCCTTGTAGCCTGCGCAAGTCATATGATCCGCGTCGTGCATTTAGGACAATCTCTAATCTTAAGTTCTCTCTTCAGCTTCGGTAAGTGCCTCTTATCCACCTGATGCAATGTCTTTGTATTTTGCATATGTGTAATCACCGTATCGCAAATGGCAAGGGGTGCAGAGCGGCTCAAAACACTTTGGACACATGTATACTGGAGGCCTCGAGCTTGAGGTTAGAAGCCAGCTTGGGGGTATGCGGAGATGTAACCGAGGATGAGATGGGAGAAGCCTGTCATGTGAGCTTATAGCACGTTTGGGTGGGCGTGCAATCTGTACTGGAGGACGCCGAAGGCTCAGTCAATGAGTCGACTCTGCCATCTCAAGGCGCACTGGTCGTCTTCCAAGGACCTTGGCTCAATCCAAGGCAGATTACGCACCATGGCCGACACCGCCCGCCTGCTTAGCTATAAGTGCTACCTCCGAATTTGGATCACACCGCTTCCTCCTGGATGCTGTCAGTCGCTACCCGTACGCATCAGCCATGGTCCATTGCCAAATCCGAAGGCGTTTGATGAAATGAGCGCTGCATGCTGTCACCGGTAAGGGGATTCCTGGTCAAACACCCGACGGCGCAGGCCTCCCTCTGACCGTTCTCAACGAGTCAATCATCTCCGAGCTGAAGGCACCCCGTGAAAAGGCTCATACAACCGTATTAGTAGGGTGGATCCTGGAGTTTGTTGCAGCTGCGCCATCGGACCCTCCGTTCCAAGTATAAAGAGGGCAGCACTCCCCCCTCCAAACTCCCTCCCTCCCAGCTTCCTTTCCAATTTTCCCCTTAATATTATTGCGAAGATGGCATCTGCAGAATCCGACCTGGCGAGATGCTATGACAATAGACGCACACTTCATACGAACATTGGTTTAAAGAAGACTTAGAAGATATATAGCAATTTGACCGCGGCTCCCAAGTCAGGAAAGAGGCGGGCATACCTTTATAAGGGCTCTCGAGGTAGGAGGTCCAGATGCAGTATCATGAAGCCTTGCTAATCGTAAAATAGACCGGCCAATTATAATTAATAATAATATGGATTCGCCAAAACAGACGGCTTCTACTCAGGGACTAATCTACGAGAAGCACCCAATTAGAGGATCGCTTTAGACCCCCTGCGAACCTGTAGATAACTTTGGCTAATTAAGGGAGCTCGTCCGGTCAAGTAAAAAGATTATTATCATTAGCGGAGCCGGCACCTCTATTAGTATAGGCTATAAGTTAAAGCTTATTTGTAAATTCCTTGAGCAATACTAATTAACCTAGTTCCTATTTTTGAGGATATGCGGAAATCCAAACAGATCTCGTTTAACCGCTCTCTCTACTTCTCTTCCGAGGAAATAACCAGCTTCCACTCCACAATTTATAATATATATAAATGGCTATATTCGGATTTGACCGAGCCTTTACCTTTCCATAAGGTTATGGACAAGCTTATACGGACTCGCCCTTATTTTCGGTACTATATATAGAATATTAATTATATCGAACGCCTGTTACCTGATCTCGACAATAAGACGGTACGCAGGCTCGGCAACGATTACTGAGCAATCGATTAGTAATCGATTATATACACTATTGATTAGCTATCGATTGTAATCGATTGGTAATCGATTACTAAACGATTATTACCCCGCACCCCACGAAAGCTAAGCACTAAATTTTTAGTACCTATAGCCTATAATTTAGTGATCGTAGCCCTAAAATTTAGCAATAAGCAGCCTATAATTATAGGGCTCTCTTTTCCTTGCAACCACAAGCCTCGAAGCTCACTTCTCACTTTCTCTCTCCACTTATTGCTTTTTACTTTTATATACTCGCCCTCTTAACCCCTCCCCCATTAAAAGTTGCCAAGCTTATAGGCCCAAGGCAGCCAGCGTATGGGAGGGCTAGTAGGAGACTAGTGGATTTATACTATATTAAGGGGCCTTTCCCTGCCTTTAATAATAAGAACCAAGGCTTTTAACTACTTAAATTTAATATCCCCTAATCCCCCCTTTTACTTTTATACTTTTATATATATAGAGAGAGAGAAGAATTAAAGAGAGAATAAATACTGAGAGAAAAGGAAGGAGGGGCAGTAATATGTGAGTGCGGCCGATTTTTGGTAGGGTAAATCGTAACAGACCCCCTTACTAGTATAGACTATGTCTTACCGGATACAGGAATAGCTATTAATATCATCTCAATAGTACTAATGAGCGATAGGCCAGAGGGAGTCTTTTCAGGGGCTTATCGTACGGTAAGCTACCTAGAATAGGGGGTGTGACGGCGCTGGCTGGGGGCCAAAGGGGGGTGGCTATCACATGACTGGTTTCACCTAGCTAGCCGGCGTTTCAGTGGTTTTAG